TGCAAAAAATACTGTTATTAAATCAAAAGATGGATAAGTATAATGTTGTAGATATATATTTATTATAGTATATATCTCTGAAATGATGCTTATACGATTCGAGCCGAATTATTTGTTATAAGTACACTTATCGATTAATTACATCGTGAATTAACTGAACATTAAATAGATAAATGTTAAATGCGACGCAGTAAAGTAAAATAAATAAACTAAATAGAAATTTACTTGTATGTTTGCTTTATTATACAATATTTCAAATGAGTCCCAGAAAATCAAGCATGCTCGCACGAGAGCGATTATTATTTCGCGGAGGCAACATTAATCTCGAATAATGACACTCGATGAATTATTAGCGTTGAAAAAAATCACAACCCGTTTCGTCTACGCGTTTCTAAGCATTATATATTCTCCGCTTATACGTGAAACCATTGCGGTAAACGCGAGCCATTACGGCTGTATTACATGCATGCTTAGGAATATTTCGACTGCACACTCAAATTAATCTATGGTTTTACATGAGCCGTTTTACGCGAAGTTCATGTAGAAACCGTAATAATGTTTTGCTGCGACGTTTACGTGAGCGAAATGTCGAATGAAAAGAGATATTGAGTTACGCATAAATTCTATAAATTGATATGCAGATTTGTAACTTTAATATTAATGTTTAAATACTCGCGCGTAATCTCGTTACATATATTATATCGTAAAATTGGGAACAAGTAAAATTAACATTTATTTTAATCTATCTGATTTTGATCGTACAGAATTTTATCGTGCTTATCACACACACATTTAAATTAGACAAATAAAACCGCAGATTTTTTAATAGTAGCATTTAACTGCTGAATGCGTAAAAAAATTGCGGACAGTCTCGAGAGAAAGATAAGCATCAATGATAACGGATATAAATGATGGCGGTCGTTATCTCGGCAGATGGACTAATAGACGTCGTTCGGACTGTATCTTTAACGACAGTTTTCGTACGTGTATTACCGCGAGTAATTTTTGCAAGCGAAAGAGATCTTTTTAAACGACATCACACAACGTTTGTGATATTTCTACGTCAATAAATGTAGAAGAAGAAGAGAAAGGAAAGAAGAGAGAGAGAGAGAGAGAAGGAGAGACTTCATCGAGAGACGCAGACGGAAGCGTCGAAGAACGACGAAGAGGTAAAAGTATAAAGTGAGCATATTACTATTGAGAATAAGTACCTGGCTTCGAGACGGGTACTCTACTCCGGAGAAGAGGGCGGACTGGGAATGGACGGCGGGGGTGCAAATGGGGTGGTACAATGGGCACTAATGGATCTCAAGCCGCCGCGAGAGGCGCTGCTTTTAATCTAATTGTTCTTCATAGCAACCGCGATCGCGATCAGTGGTATTCAACTGTGATCCTTCGTCTATGCTGCAGCATCTTGCAAAGAAAAAAAAAAAAAAGAACGGCCCGTGATATCCGTTGGGGCACACTTGCGCTTAAAGCCGGAAACTTCCTTTCTATTCTACCTCGGAAAATGTGGGTGTAATTTGTGTCTCGTGCAGATGAGAAATATTTCCGAGAAACATCGACTCTTTACGACTATTTTAAGATAAATATGCAAAACTCGATAATTGGCTTCTAATTTTGTCTTAATACATATACAATATATATTGATTAATTATAACAAATATATTTTAAAATAGAATAGGTAATTTAGGGGAACATCTCGACATATTGATGTGAAAATTACAGAAAATTATATTGATAAAAAATAATATAATTTTATATTAACTAATAAATATTTTAATATTTTACAAACTGAAATAGATATACTTTTTTTTTTAATTTTAATTTTATATGCGTATACAAGAAAGACTGAAGATCAATAAAATATTAAAAATAAATGTGCTTGATGCTCATTTTCTACTTGATCTCATCTTATTACATTAAGGAATTATATGACATTGTGAGAAAAATTCAGGCATTTTGTATAATTAAAATAATATAGATAATATCCCTTTTTAAAAATAAGAAATAAAATAAAAATATTGTTTTATGAATAAATAATGAATAAAATTATCAATGAATGAAAAACCATTTAAATACAATTATTATACATAAAGTGCGTTACACTTTTTGTCAATCTTTTCCTTAGAATTATTTTTAACATTCTCTACAATATGCATTCAATTTTGTCATAATAATAACACTTTACAATAATTATTAATGTATTTTTGAGATCCAAGCTTTCACGACGATGCAAAATGATATAAAAGTGTCACCTTAATTTACGAAGTAAAAAGATATTTAAAAGACATTTTTCTTATAAATTGTTCTAGTAACGTTTGTCTTCTATACATCTTCTTTATTCTGCCTTCTCCTCTGAAAACGATGTCAAAAGATTATAGGACCGAAACCGAAATTTAGCAATACGGTGAAACGAAATCGGAGCGAAGTGGACGTCGAGCGTTTCTTTCTACATCTAGTGATTCCATTTAGCACGGCATCTACTTTGCGGCATTATGCGATACGGTCGTTGAGCTAAAATGCAAGCGTTTCGAAAGCGTACGCGTACTTGTCCTAATGTGGCAATGCGAAATGTCTGCGCCCCAACTCTGACTTTCTTTGCCTAAAAACTCACGAAAATATATACACCCATTCCGTGGCATTCGCGTCTCTGTCTCTCTCTTTTTATATTCTCCTTCGCTTTTAGCTCCGTATAAATTATTAAAAAGCAGCGTTCGAATCAACGCGTCAATAAAATTTCACCTGTATAAGACTCCATGAATTGCCTTGTGAAATGAAATATCATTCGCCCAGTCTATACGTTATCCGTGCGTTTTATCGAGACCGCCAAGCAGGTGGTGCAATAATTACCTTCCCGCGCGATAACGCCAACGATAACGATAATTCTCGCGTTCGCTGTGCGGCCTTCGCCCTTCGCGCGACAGATAAATTTCTGATAACGCGGATAAATTGGCCGGATTGTAATTGCCGTTGTGCGTGTTACCGGCGTTCACGCCGGGATGCGCCTGGTCCCGGGCAACCCCCCCCCCCCCCCCCCCCCCCCCCCCTCTCGCCCTCCTCTCTTCCCGAACGAAATTCACTTTCGTCGACGGAAAATGCGTGCAGTCCGGAGGGAAGAAGGAGAGGAGGGGGGACGCGATTAAACGCGCGGGCGTTTAGGATCCGTGGGAATTCGGGGTCCGTGCGGGTGCACTGCCAGCTGTGCGCGGAATTCAGGAAATCGTCGTAATGACGCGGCCGATACGCCAAATCTTTTCATGATTAATGACGCGGAAGCGATTTTGTAGTACGCCCTCTTCCCCTCGCCCCCTTGTGAATTGCCTCTGAATTAGGGTGGCTCGAGCACGGGTGCGAAAAAAGCACCTGCGGCTTATTAACCGTGATACGTAAGCAAAGACCACTACTATGCTACGAAATGTTTAGATATCGAAAAATGATCGCGTGCAATTAGTGGCGCTTCCTGATGATTCCTGAGGTCTTTACATTTTACTTTTATCTGTCAAAATCGTTTTTTAATTAATTTCAAATATTAAATGTATCAACTAATTTTTTTCTGTTTTATTTTATTTAAGAAAAACTATATTAATAATTATCCGAGATTTATATCTTAACTTTTTAAGATTGATTTTAAGGGAACTGACAGTTTGTGCTGGCAAGCAGTATTAGTTTCGGAAGAAATACAGTTCTGCATGATTCTTCGTAAGTGCAATATATTTCTTTAACTTAATGAATAGCCTACATATTTACACAAAGTCTATAGTTGATATATATGGTACATATGTATATATAACATGCCTAATGTTAATATAATACATATATTTTACAAAAGTTTCTCTCGCGCATGATATATTTCACTTGATACAATACATTCACAGGCGAGATTCTGTACAGCATTTGGAAGGAATTCTACACGGCTGCATTCGCGTCTACCTTTTTACATCCAGGATAAAAGCAATTGTGACACAGGATAAATATGACATCTCGTAATATTTTTTTAATCAAATCAAATTAAATTGAATATATTAATCTCTTATTGATTTCTATTAATAAATAACAACGCACTTAATTAAATAGCATTTAATTTAATAAGTAGAAAAAGTTATCTCATTTTTAAAATTTTATAAATTATTTATTACACATTAAATAATATATATTCTAGTGTCATATTTCTAGCCCAGCGTAACAATTAGCTTGATTCACCTAGAGAAACGAGTTTTTGATATCGATGAAACAGATTGTTATATCATCGTCGAGTAACAACGCGAGCAGTATTAAATAATTAGAATAACGATGTATAATATCATATAACGCTGCGCTATGTGCGACACTATATTTCTGAAATTTCATTTCAATGTTTCGCGGAAACGTTGATAGAATCAATAAATTAATTTTATCGAAAACTGACGATGTTTTCGATCAAATTAACAGCTGGCCGAATAGCGAGAAAAAGAGATAGATGCATATGTGTTTAATTAGAATTGCAAATTTTGATAAAAGAACTAGATATTTTTTCTTTATAGTAGTTTCTGTAAATCCCCAATTTTATTAATCGTATTTATTTTCTCGATGAAGAGAGCATAAATAATATTATATGTAATATAATAAATTTTCTAATTTATTTCTATAAACTATAACTTGTAAATCAAATATGTATTCCTTTTTTTGTACTTAATTAAAAATTATACTGACATAGATTATTTTATTATCAAGATTTGAATTTAATTTTTAGGGAGGAGATATTATTTATTTTTCTGTTTCAGATTTATTTAAGATCTGTTTTATCACACATTATTGATATTATTCAAGATTATATATTTTTGTTTTGAGATTGGTACATTAAATAATAATTTTGAATCATACGATGATCAAGATGATCGGGTTCCTTAACCCGTTTCATCCTTAGATCCAAAAAGCACGTGTATTTGATCAGCAGCTAATTAAAATATTGTTATTAATATATTATATATATAATAAACTTATGATTGTGTCTTATACAGACTGCTAATTAAAATTGAAGCGTATAAATCAATCAACAATATCCAGCTATGCTGATCAAATATGTTCAAAATTAACATCACCAATATGACGCAATGAATAACCAAATTAATATCAAATCGTTTACCTTTTCGTTTACCTTCTGCTCAAACACGTGCTACTCGATTCCTAGATCTTGATCGTACAGAGAATCCCGAATGCAAGGGCAAACATAAATTATTGATAAATTCTTTGTCAAAGTACCAAAAGTCTTGATGTTCTTTTTTTCACAATTTACTTTAAAATCAAAAGTAAATGCGTTTTCTTCGGGAACATTTTGTATATTAAAATGCCCGATATCTCGAATCGTGCGTACAACGCGAAGTAAATCTCTCTAAGCCTGATAATAACAAAGAGAATCCTTTTCGCGCAGGCGGCAGGTATTTATGCCGCGTGCGAAACATTTACGTTGGTATCAAATATGTGGGTGAGATTCCCGGGAACACACACACACACACAGACAAGTTCCTCATATTTACAAAAGTCCGTAAGAGCTCTCACAGTTAATTGTCCGCCTTGCGTAGAGCCTCCTCCGCCTTCACTCTCAGCACTTCCGCGCTCTGCTTCCTGATCTCGTCGTCGGACGACACCGAGTCCTCGTCCTTGTCGTTCTTCGAGCTCAGGTTCTGCGGTATGCTCTGCACCCCCAGATTCAGGGGATGCCCGCCGTGCAGATGGCCGCCCAACGAGTGGCCGTTCACGTTACTGTGGTTCAACGACGAGCTCGGGTTCAGGCAGTTAACCGGCAGTATTGTACCGAGCGACGCCAGATTCTGCGACAACGGCATGATGTATTGCGACAGGATGGCGTGTAACGGCGGCAACTTGGGCGCGCTCGTGGGCCAGTGTGGCGGGAAAACCGGCGGGATGAACCAGGGAAACGTGCCGGTCGGTGGACCGGAGGAGTCCGCGCCCGGGACACCGCCAGCCGTTTGTAGCAGCCGCGCGTGAAGGGACAATTCGTTTACACCTGCGAACATAAATTTGTGACGGATATTGCATCGGATCCTTCTGCGGATAAAATTGTTTTAATCTTCTGCACTCCAAGTATTTTTGCCAGACATTGATAATTTATATTCATTTTTATCACGCATGTTCATATAATATTAAAGATATATTTTTTTTATTCACATCTATATATTTGTGAAAAACGTTGTATTTTAATAATCTAATTATCACTGCATTTTAATTTTTTTTCTCTCTTATATATTAAATATAAATCAATTAATTTACTAAAATTCCAAAACTTTTTAAAGAAACTCCAAAGTGCATTCATTAATAACACAAAGAGTTAACTTATTTCTTTTAAATATACCTATGTTTATTTTTAATTTTAAACAAATTAATTATCTGCCTTTCCATCTTCTTTCCATTTTTTCTTTTTTTTTATCAGAATAATATGAATGTGACATATACATTTGTCCCTTTCTTTTTTATTTAAGCATTTGATTAACATCGCAAACATACGAATTAACGCAAAGAAAAAAATTAGGAGTTTTTGCGGTTAAATATAATTAATGAAATTGATTAAAGATGTCACATAGGGTCGCGAAGTCATTAGTAGAATTTTTTTTTTGTCACCAATCCGGCTCACCGTGTACAAGCTTTATATCCACAGAGCGTTTCATGAAAAATTAATCAGCCAGGTTTCTATTCTATATCATTCGCGTGTGATGGCTGCGACGGCCGACACTGAAATTAGACGTAATTGTCGCCGATTGCATCTACCCTTCGTAATTCCGGGCCTTGTCGCCCTTCTCTTGCACGTATTAGCGACGTAACACGCGCGTTACTACGTTACAGCGAACCGAGCAAGCAAACGGTGGATGAAAACGAGCCTTTGCGATTGATCCGCGAAAAATCAGTCCATTATCGTAGATACGAACCAATCTTTTTATATATACGAATAATCCAAAGAAATATTTTTTTTTATCTAAACCGCGGCATCTACCTAAATTACAAAATAGCAAACAATGTTACAAACCGTTATCTTACCCGCAATAATTTTGTCAAATAAAATATCTAATCAACAATTGCACACACACACACACACAAAATTGTTTGTCTTACTAAAAATTTCTTTCTTTTTTATCTGTACTGGAAGCAAAATTCATTTATGCCACAATATAAATTCTTCGATTAATCGATTAAAATTATTATCCTTCATAAACTCACCGCCTTGCTCGACGTGCATGAAACTGGTATCTCTGCCCAACGCCTTTTCCTTCTTGCGCCACTTTGCACGTCGATTTTGGAACCAGACCTGAAACAAAAAAAAGATATTTCACACGATCAACACAATTTCATTGCGTGTGTTCATTGACATTAAAAAAATGTTATAGTTATGTTAGCCATTGCAAAATAATCTATTGCGATACTGAACAAAAAATTATAATCACTAGTATATTAGTTCAATTAGTCTGTTAAGAGACTAAAATTCGTCATCATTGTTAATGAGGAATTATCAGAATATCAAGACATTAGTCACGAAAATTTGAAATTGACAGAAAAGGGACGCGCATGAGAACCCCAGGCGCGCGTATCAGCAACGCCTTTTCCTTCTTGCGCCACTTTGCACGTCGATTTTGGAACCAGACCTGAAACAAAAAAAAGATATTTCACACGATCAACACAATTTCATTGCGTGTGTTCATTGACATTAAAAAATGTTATAGTTATGTTAGCCATTGCAAAATAATCTATTGCAATACTGAACAAAAAATTATAATCACTAGTATATTAGTCCAATTAGTCTGTTAAGAGACTAAAGTTCGTCATCATTGTTAATGAGGAATTATCAGAATATCAAGACATTCGTCACGAAAATTTGAAATTGACAGAAAAGGGACGCGCATGAGAACCCCAGGCGCGCGTATCAGAGCGGCCAACAAAAGCTTGCTCTCAAGGTTGATTAAGCTAATTGTTAACAATTATCCTGATTTCCTTCGTACCCCTGAGTGCCAGCAACCCCTGCCTTCGGTTCTATCCTCATCTACCCCCGGCGACCCTATCGCTGGTCCGGTTGCCGTATAAATGCTTTCGCTTTCCGCTCGAGCTGTTCCGATTTTTCGTGGGTACCACGAGAAGCAGCGGAACAGAAAAAAAGAGAGAGGAAGAAGAAAGGAGAGAGATTTTTTTATTACATCTTGGACAATAAAGATTTGATAATACATATGTTTAAAAAATATAAAAGAGAAAAAATATTTAAAGAAAACATTGAAGGAGATATATATATAAAGATTTTTTAAATATACAATATAATATTATCCAAACATAATATTATAATTAAATAAATAAGCCATATACAAGAATAAATTTATTAATAATAAAAATTTTGATATAATTTTCTCTATATCTGCATAATTTATTAGTTTCTTCTTATAGAAGATGCAAAAAATTATGATTCATCGTATATGACAACATTAACTATAATCGACTTAAAAAATCGAATGAAGCTGTGACTTGCAGCTAGGACTCACTTGAAGTGAAACAGGTTAGCGAGTTAGTTCGGTCGGATAGCAGAATAAAATCAAGCGACGTGGGAAAATCGAGAACGTAAGCTGAGAGAAGCAAATGGCATTGAGGAGGAAGAGAGGAATAACTTGAAGCGAGGGAAAG